TTAAGCCAAAAGGAGGAACGAAGAGGAGGAGAATGAGGACGAAAACAAAGAGGAGGAGGGGGAAGAGGAGACTGATAATAATACGAATACGACGACGACGACGACGACGACGACGACTAAGGATACTAAGAATACGTATGATGCAATAGCCGTAACACTCTGAAGAAAATGACACCAACAAAACGTAGAAAGACGACGAAGGAGGAATGGGAGGAACCCGAGGACAAGGACGTGTAAGAAACGGGGGTCTTCGTGATAAGTTGAAGCTGCTTGGGGCATCCTTGGGGCCTCTTGGGGGGTCGTCGGTGTCCTCTTGGGGGCTACTGGGGTCGTCTTGGGCTGTCCGGGGGCGTAGTAAGGTTGTGTGGGGGCTCTCTAGGCGCCTCTTCCAAGCGGGCGGCGGAGTCACGGCCAAACCCCCTGTCGCCAGCTGCTGCGACAGGGGAGGCACACGACGGAATCGGGGAATACGCGAACCCACTTGAGACCTCGCTGGCGCTGTGAACTGCGCAACTGTCGCCACTTCGATGGCCCCCTTGGGACGTCCAACAGGGTAGTCGGGGGGGGGGGCACGCGCACCCATTTTAGACATCGCTGCCCCCTGGGTGGTTCCGAACTGCGAAACTGGCGGCACTTTCGCAAACTCCTTGGAAGTCCAGCAGGGTCCGGGGCCACGAGCGCCCTGACGAGACCATCTCGCTGTTGCCTGGGCGGCTGCGAATTGGGAAACTGCCACCAATTTCGTGGACACCTGGGATGTACGGCGGAATCAGGGGCCACGCGCACCCAGACGGGACCTCGCTGCTCCCTGGAACGCTGCGCGCTGCGCAACTGTCGCCACTTCCGCGGGTTCCCGCGGGGTCGGGGGGCACGCGCACCCAGACGGGACCTCGCCGCCCCCTGGGTGGCTACGAACTGCGGAACTGTCGCCACGTTCGCGGGTTCCTGGGAGGTCCAGCGGAGCGTCTTGAGCCGTAGCCTCCACGAGAGTCGACCCCTTCTGGCCACACCCGACACCCCGACGTCAGGGGCGGGCCCCAACAGTGGCCAGAGCCAGCCCCAGCATAGGCAGGTACCACGCAGGCCGACGCAGACTGGAGAACCAGTCCGCGCCAGCCCTGAGGGGCTACCCACGCGGCCCCAGAACGTCGGGTCCCCAAGGGACCTGGGACGGCTGACCGACTCCATGCAGGGACCACCCGGCAGAGTCGTGGGGCCGCCCCAGGCCCGCCAGGGCACCAACGCCCCTGGCCCGCCGCGCCGCCCCTGCGCAGGCGACGTCTTGGCGAATTTCAATTCCCCCAGGAGCCCCGACGTGCCGCCCACACGCAGAGGTGCCCTCCTCGGGGCACCTCCTCCTCCTCCTCCTCCTCTCCTTTCCTCCTCCTCCTCCTCCTCCTCCTCCTCCTCCTCCTCCTCCTCCTCCTCCTCCTCCTCCTCCTCCTCCTCCTCCCCCTCCTCCTCCTCCTCCTTTTCCTCCTCCTCCCCCTCCTCCTCCTCCTCCCTCTCTCCTTCTCCCCCGTCCTCGCCCCCGGGCCTGCGTGTACGTCAGGCCCGCCGCGAGGCCCGGCAGGCTGCACTCCCCCGAGTGGTTGTTCCCGCAGGCCACGGCGGCGCCGTCGCTCCTCCGGGGGGCCCTGCGACGAAGATCGGCGGCGCGACCAGGGAGGGATGTGAGAGGCCCCGACCGCGTGCGCCTCAATCAAATCGAGACGGAGTTTTTTCGTGGTTCTGGGCCTCTCGCTGCCTCCGCCGGGTTTCGGGGCCGTGAAAAAAGGGCTCGGGGTGAAAAAACGGTCCCAGGGAAGTGGTCGGGAGGTTGGGGGGCCGCGTCTCAAAAAAATCGAAATGTCGGATGTCTGGGAAGCGAAAGGGGGCAAGCCTCCTCAGCAGGCGGCGGGGTTTCTCGGTTTTCCGGCATTCCGAAACGCGGTCCCTCTCTCTCTCTCTCTCTTTCTGCATTTCGGCGAGCGCCCCGACAACTTCTCAGAGGGCCCAGGAAGCCTTCCGAGCCTTCTGAGAAGGCCCGCCCCCTCTCACTTCCCCCCAGGCTCGAAGCCGAGATGAGCGGCAACGTTAGGAAGGGGGAACAGCTCAGGGGGGGAAGCATCGCCCTGGCATCGGCGATGCACTGCCGAGGGATCGGCGAAACGCCCCCGATCGCAAATCCGCACTTTCCTGGGTGGGCTGGGGCGATCGGGCCCCTGTTGGGGCTTCCGCGACGAGCCCAGCGCGCCCGAGGTTCTCTCACAAGCGTTGACGGCGCGCGCAAGGGGGTAGGGTAGGGGGAGGGGGAAAACTTCGTAGAAGGAGGCTGATCCTTAGAAGGTGCCGGACTTATATCTACAGATAAGACCCGCGCCTTCTAAGAAGCAGGGGTGCTTCTAAGAAGCATTCCCACCTCCCCCTACCCCCCTCTGCACATGGCTGAAATCGGCAAACTCGTCCATGTCTAACCTGGATCACCGCGGGATTTGCCAAAGGGATAAGGGGTTAGCAGGGGAGGCTAAGGTGGGGTATATCTGGCCTGACCTGGCTTACAAGTAGGTTGCAAGTGTCCAAAGCAACTTCAAGGGGTTAGGTGATTCAGCTTAGTGGGCCCCGCCGACTTGGAACACATAGTTTCCCCCCTAAGCAAATTAGGGCACTTGCAAACCACGCGTAAGCTAGGCCTGATGAAATCACGTTAGCATCCACGGATACCCCTTGTATCTCCTTAGCAGCCCCCGCGGTGGTCCAGATAAAACGAAGCCAGGACAGGGACACACTCGGACTGGGACAGCTCGGCGAGGTTCGGGGATCTCTGAGATCTGGCGGTTCTGGTCGAAGTATCGGGCGCCGTGGCCCTTCCCAGGCGATCTGGAACGCTCTATGAGAGCGTTCCAGAAGGCTCTCAAGCGACTCATCCCTGACGTAGCCCCGACCGATGGCGCGACCCCAATCCGGAACTTCTCCCACGAGCGGCGACAGTCCCAACGCATCCGTATCCACGACCTTGCAATCTGGACTCCGGGACGCGATCCTGCAAGTACGCGGTCGATGCGCTCCGCGCGAAGATTCCGTGAAGAAATGCGCCCCTTTCGCGGAGTCGCGGCCCAGAGACCCGGTCAGCGAGGCCGAGGGTACGGATTACGTCTTCCGCCAACAAATTCGCGTCGATCGCCAGACTTTCTAGCAGCTGCTTTTCGCCGGAAACCATATTATGGAGGGGGAGCCCAGATCGCCCCAAGCGGCCACTGGAGGCCCGAGCTATGACCTGAAACCCACCGCCACTGATTCCAAACATCCAACGGTCTTGGCAATCCGCCGACCCCAAATTGCCAGGGGTGCAGAGGCGTGTGGGAAGATTGGCTGCCCCCCTCTCTGGGGCTCCAAATCGTGCTAGGCGGGGATGGGGGGGGGGGGTTCAAGCTCCACTCCAAGGGCCTGATGGGCCTACGGATCTACTCTCCGAGGCCTCCAGCATTCTCAAGACGCCGTTGAAGCTGTGCTTCTGAATACGAACCAGGCTGACTCTGGCCTAGGGTCCACACACGTTGAGGAAGGTGACCGAAAAGAAATCGATCTCGAACCAGAGGAACATCATGGTGATGTAGTTCAAGCCAAAATGGGTGTGAATTCCTTGCCATGTGTGGCCAGGCGCTGGTGGCCAAAGACGCACACCCGGCGGCCATGTAGCCACGGATGCCGTTGAAACAGGCTCACTCCAGGATCATCCGAGAGAGCGTCGAAACGGCACAGGTGACCCCGCGACGGTCCAAGTTGGCTGCAAGAGGGCCGACGAGACCCCAAAGACGGCCCAAGAGTGCTCCCAAAGGCCGCCGAGAGGGCCCCAAGAGACAATAATCGCCCCATTCCCAAAGGAAAACGTGCTTCTTCGTAGCACACAGACACATCCACGTGCACATGCACAGGCACATTCACATGCACATTCGCATTCACATTCGTATTCATATTCATCTACACAGATACACATACATCCACACACACACACACACACACACACGCACGCACGCACGCACGCACACGCACGCACACGCGCACGCGCGCATTTCTCGTCTTGACAACGTTCACTACGGCCCAGGGAGCCCCCAAGATCGTCCGAAAACGACCCCGGAGGCCCCCAAGAGGGCTCCAAGACGGCCCAAATAGAGCCCACAGAGGGCCCAAAAGGGCCCCAAGAGGGCCCCAGGGGGCCCTGAAAACGACGCAGGAAGGCGTCAAGAGGGGCCGGGCCATAGAAGGGCAAAATGAACACACATCTCGAATCTTTCCTGCCGCAGTGGCCCCAAGAGTCCCCCAGTGACCCCTGAGGCGACCCCAAGAGGCCCCACGAGGCTCCCAAGAGGCACCCAAGAGGCCCCACAGAGGCCCTCGAGAGGCCCCCAAAAGCCCATCAGCTGCCCCCACGAGCCCTCCGAGGGGCCCACGGAAGACACTCCAGAAGACCCTCACGTGCATCCCCGAGACTCCTGACCCACAGTCCAGGCACTATAGCACGACTCTTGTCAAATTCACTGCTTTGGGGGTCGGCGGAACAGCGTAAGCCTCTTGAGTCAGCACCAAGACGGAGGACGTTCGTAATCCAGCGCCGTTTGGGGAGTTTCTGGGCCTATACCAAGAACAGCTGCCATGCCGTCTGGTAAGATTTGATCGACTCGGAATCCCCACGACACTGCACTCCTCCCCCTCCTCCTCATCCTCCTCCTCCGCCTCCACCTCCTCACCACGCTTCCTACTCCTTCTCCTTCTCTGTCTCCTCCCTCCTCCTCATCCTTCTCATTCTCCTCCTCCTTTTTGTCCTCCTCCGGGTCCTCCTCCTCCTCGTCCTCTTCTTCGTCTTCCTCATCCTCCTGCTCCTCATTCTCCTCCTCCTCCTCCCCGTCCTCCTCCTCCTCCGCCTCCTCTTCCTCCTCCTCCTCGTCCTCGTCTTCCTCCTCCTCCTCCTCCTCCTCCTCCTCCTCCTCCTCCTCCTTCTCCTCCTCCCCCTCCTCCTCCCC